AAATTACCCCAAATTTTAATTTCATTTTCTGATACATATTGATGTACTTATACTGTGTAGCAAGTTTGAGCCAATTCTGACTTCAATTTTTCAAGTTACGGCCATTTTAAGAAAGTAGCAAAAATTTTAATATTAACCTTTTGGCTCCGAAATCACTCTCAGTTGTTCCTAGGGTTCTCATATTGTTTCTGGTTGTTCGTTTGGTTCAATCTTTCACTGGAACTCCGGCACTGGACGACTCCTTCAAGAGCTGCTTCCTTTTCCTCCTCAAGACGACCAATCAGATTTGAACGAAGACCGTCAAGTAGGTGTGGTCAGAATATGTACCTCCAGTGAATATATAATTGGATTGTTACGGGACAACTGCATAAGAATATGGAACAAAGAAGATGGACATCTTTGCAATATAATAGAAATGGTTAGTGTGTATGTAATACCTTATATCTGAGAGGACTTTTAAATCTACACAGTCCAATAATTTTCAGTTTTATTATTAATTTATTTATTGTATTTATTTATTATTTATTTATTATTTTCTTTATTATTACTATTTAGGATTCTTTTACTCATGACGTCACAGTGATAGATTCTCATCACATTGCAATTGCACTACAAGTAAATTAAACTATAACGTCACTTTCACTTTATCTCTCCCTTCTAGTCTCAACTTGTCATTTATGATATTCAAAGAAGATCTGAGGTTGGTCGTAAAGACCTCGCCTCCAGCTCCTCCCCCCTCATTAGGCACCTGTCAGCCATTGATTCCTCGAACCTCCTCTGCTCCAGTGGGGCTGATCTACAGCTGGTCCCTTCTGGACTCAAGATTAAAAGCGAATAGTTGATTAACCTCCTAATATTCTGTGGACATATTATTACTTTCTCTTCAAATTTATATGCCATCAATAATCACTTATTTTTATTATTATTTGTTTGCAAAAATAACGTATCATATAGTTTTATTTTGGACTCCAGTGCCTCCTAGTGGCATTTGATCTCAGCCTCTGCAACTGTAGCAGCCAACTGGAACTATAGTTTAACGTAATTTCAATAATAAAATAAGAAGTGGTCATAAATATAAGGTATATGTATGTACATGGACAATCAGACAATAACAATCAATTATTAGTACATTAATTTAATTGTTTTAAACTTCAGATGATCCTCTTTTCCTGTGACCAGAGAAAAACTCAGTCTTCTTCCTCACTCTCCTTCCCTCCCCCACTTCACTCCATAGCTCAATAGGATAACCATAATATCCTCCTAGATAATCCATGTTCATCTCATGACTCATCCTCACTGCATATGGATACTGCCTCTGCTGTCTTCTCTTCTTAGCTGCGTCACTCATAGTTGAGCTTGGAGTTGTGGTTGGAGTCTCCTGCCCCGAGAAAGGACGTCCTTTACTGTAGTACGGTCGGTCTTCTTGACAGAGTAGTGTTTTTCTAATTTTATTTCTTGCAAAACAGTTAGATATGAAGTAGTACCCGCTAGTAAGTAGCATCATTCCACACAGGAGGGATATGAGTACTTCTGACTGCTGGTGTGCAGTGATGAAGTGTATCGCTATCATACCACTGAAGAACACTGTCTCAATCAGTAGACCAAAGAGCTGGTAATATGACGAAGTGTTTATCACAAAGCTACTGCAGGCCAGGAGTGGGAATGCAATGAGTAATAGAAGGACCAGGAGAAGACTACTGACTAGACACAAATATACGAAATAATTTGGAAAAGCAAAGCTCTCAATCCAGCAGCTAGTGAAAAAAAGAAGAGACATTTTTAAATTAAAAATTTTGTGCAATTACAACTTTCCTTGTTAACAC